TTATTCTCTCCGAAATTGAAGTGATAACAAAAACTCCCCTCTGTCTACCACGTTATTTCTTCCAAGTTCTACAATCAACGCAAATCAAACTTTCTGTTAGTCCACAGCCTCGCAGCCCTGGCGAACCTGTGCTGGTACAATCTGGCAGCAATTTAGTTATAAAAGTTGAAGGTGTTATTCAACATTATGGTAAAAGAAGATCTATGTATCGCAGTGTGGACGCAGTCCAGTTGTCATTGACGTCTCAACTTGTGACACCTCGTCCAGCTAATGAAACACCTAAATCCACCACAACCGATACAGTAACACTCACACAGACGGTTAAACCACAGCGTGACTTTTTGACTGGCAGCTTTCTTTTGCCGATCTCAAGTGGTGGTCAGTGGCAGGTTACTTTGGAGACATATGTCATTGACGAAAATGGCATAACTTGGTGCACCGGACCAAAAAATTCAATGTTGGTGCGATTGCTAGAGGATCCTGCAAAGGCAGCAGCGCCTACACCATCCACTTCAGCGCAGGCTGGGCAAACACGAAGATTTTAGATGGAGTGTTCAAATTCGTCACTTGATTTTAATGGGAATGACCGAAAACAACTCTTCGATCTTTCAAGTGCTGAAATGCCTTTGGAAGTAATTTATATAAACCTTTTATTAGTTTAGTTTAAAAACTTTAAAATATAACACGTTTAATACCTTATAACTATTAGTTTACATTTTCTTCGGCCACATCTTATACACAAAAATTTTACTAACCGCATTTATTTCTGGAACGGATAGTAATCAAGCCCGGAATTATATTTGAACTTTGGTTTTTGTTTGCGTTTAGCGATGTTTATCATTTCCTGCACATCTTTGCGGTAGGCTGGCGGAAGCATTTCCTCATGTAGAGTGCATTGGAACTCTTCCGGTCCTTCAATTTTAAAGATACGACGTCGCACAATATCAATATCACGGCCGAATTCCTCCATAAAATCATTTAATTTTGTTGGTGCCGACTCAAAAGCTATAGTGAAGTAGGTGCCTTCGCGATGTACTACACCATGTTCACTGATTTTATGCGGTAGCGCACGAGTGCCCAAATTTTCCAGTTTTCTAATTATGCAGCCCTTGTCCAAAATAGATTCGGCAGTGCGTTTCAAGACGGACACAATCTCCGGCTAATTTCGAAACGAATAATTGGCGTGCATGAGAGAGGGGAACAAATTCAAATTAAGGCAAGGATACTTACTCTGGACATTTGTCGCAATACCAAAGCTAATTCGTAGGATGGCATTTTCGGTCTAATATAAAGGAAGAGCTCTAAAAATTTCAAAGAAGATTTGCCGTGTTACGAAAGGGCACACAGAGGAAAATAGTGCTGCAATATAATAGAATGGACAGTCGGTACTATCGATAGCAATTTTTTTCAGTCACTCGATATTTTTAGCATTATCGGTCGTTTTTGGAGAGCATCTGATTTGTTTATTTCATACATTTGGTCTGTAATTGTCAAAATTTTATTTACACTTTACGGTAAAATATTAAGTTTTGTTCATTTATTTTCAATAAACCAATATCTATAAACAAAAAAACTTTAAATAGACTGACGAAAACAGCAAAAAAAAAATTAAAATGTCATAAAAATCGGAATTGAGTAAATTGAATGCGTATTTTGCTCATTGTAAGTTCATTGTAATAACTTGAGTCGCTTTTTACACGCCTAGGGGTGCATGTGCTTCTTTTATATCGCGATTCAGGAATACCTTGTCAAACATTTTGACAGGATATCGTTTCATTTTGATTGAGTATCGTTCGAAACAGAACAACATTTTTCTGTTGTCAGTTTGGACAATGTTCAAAATCAAAATGCATGCTTTAGCATCAGAATTTTGTTTGTAATTTATGATTTTTTTTTAGTTGTTGCCTTTTGGCTACACTATCGATAGTATCGATAGTTGTTTCTCGGAGTAGTTAAAACTATCGATGGTTTTGCAGCACTAGTAAAAAGTAGGGATGCGCATATAGAAAATACATCGATGTTTTTTGCGACGCGATGCATCGTGAAGTCATATCGATATTGTGGGATGTATCAGTTAAAAAAATCGATTTCCTGTTATTTCAAAAAAAATTTAATTAAATAAAACAACCCTTTTAACCCTCTAGTAGGCAGAACCGCCTCCAGACGGTCGTTAACTAAACACCTTTTTAGTGCACCTATAATAATTTTTCTCTATAATCGTAAGGCACGATCTTTAGACAAAAATCGTTCCCCTACGGCGAAGTAAATTTTTATCCGTTATGTCAATCCGTTTTATTTTAATCGGCAGTTGAATTACAGATTTTGAAAACACGGTTAAAATTAATTATTTCTTGCTTTTTAATAATTTCGTAATTAAAGAAATTTTTTCTTTTGAAAATTTTTTTGATACAAAAAAATTCAGTGGGTTTCGTAGTTAAAAGCACAGTATTTTGATATAAGTTTTATAATTGTGTGACTATCCGAAATGGAGAAAATTGCTTTCGAACACAGACCGTCTACAGACCGGCTTGCCGACATATAAAAACCCACGGCATTGCCGGTTCGTAGGTCAACATTGTGTAAGAGAAAGCTGAAAATATGTGTAACTATATCGGCGAGCCCATCTCCAGACGGTCTTGGTTTTTCTCCCCTGTAGGAAAAAGTTACTGTCACAGATCGAAATGGACATCAGTTTTGGATTTCTCGTGCTAAAACCACCCCTTCCTGAATTTTTCAACTCATAAAAAAATTGGCCTACTAGGGGGTTAATAAGGTAGAGTGTACTAATTTGAATAAAATAAATATGAATTTGAAATAAATTATTTTAAGAACGAAATATGCAAGTATAACTTTCAATGCTAATTATCCTATTAGGTCCGTTCGGTGAACGCACTAGAGTACTCTAGTGCAGGAAAGATGAAACCCTTTTTTGCTGTTCTGCACTACATTGTTCTACGGAACAAGTGCGGTATAGCGGCCGTTGAGGAAAAGTAAAAATAAAAAGTGGGCGTGGTCCGCCCCTTTTAACTGATTTTAATGGCGTAAACGGTTTTTGGTGGAAATTAATAGGGGCGGAGTTAAAGGGAGGTAAAGGTGGAATTTTCGATAGTTTTAGTAGTTTTTTTTTGTGCAGAACTTCTTTCTGNCTGTTCTGCACTACATTGTTCTACGGAACAAGTGCGGTATAGCGGCCGTTGAGGAAAAGTAAAAATAAAAAGTGGGCGTGGTCCGCCCCTTTTAACTGATTTTAATTGTGTAAACCGTTTTTGGTGGAAAGGGCGCGGAAGTATTTTTTGCGCAGAACTTCTTTCTCAGTAGGCGGCCTTCGTCCGCGCTTAGGGATTATAACCCGCACGAAGTAGAATTCTCCTTTCTGCGTTGCCGAAGAAGAAGGGCTGAATACCTTTTGCAGAGAACACGTTTCTGCGTAGGCGGCCATTGGCCGCACTTAGGGATTATAACCCGCACGAAGTAGAATTCTCCTTTCTGCGGTGCCGTTTTATATGGAAATAAAGCCTCAGGCAACATGTGCTTAAACCTAACTATATAAAATAATATATCAATTTAAAGGTATTTCTCTATACTTTTTAATGAACACATCCTTTAATATTGTTAATTACGCGTTCTTTTAGAAAAACGTACATTTTTATAAAAAAAAAAAAATCTTTATCCCATTCAGTTTATACGACTAACGTATCACGTAATTTTTTATCCGTGAACGAATGTTACGATTCCAGCTCTGGGCTATCGCGGCATTCGATATCGAACGTAACTCCTAACGAAATTTCATTTAAAGATTGCGGCATTCGATAGCGCGTGTGCTGGGTTAATTTAAATTGTTTTGGGGAGAAAACGTCTGCCGTTATTACATTCGAAACGAGTAATCATTCGATCCCGAATGCTGGGATTCATATCTTCAGTTCCTTAATGGCTAGCAATGCCCACTATCATTCCGGGCCTGGATTCGAGCCCGATTTCCGACAAGCTTAAACAAAATAAATCATAAAGTTATATAGGAATGTATTATAGGAAAGTAATTTCACAGTATTCCCAGGTTAGAGATTTTAAGCGCNGGCCGCACTTAGGGATTATAACCCTCACGAAGTAAAATTCTCCTTTTTGTTTTGCCGCTTTATATGGAAAAAAGCCACAGGCAACATGTGCTTAAACCTGACTATATAAAATAATATATCAATTTAAAGTTATTTCTCTATATGTACTTTCTAATGAACACATCCTTCCTTTAATATTGTTAATTACGCCTTCTTTTAGAAAAACATACATTTTTATAAAAAAAAAAATCTTTATCCCATTCAGTTTATACGACTAACTGTATCACGTAATTTTTCATCCGTGAACGAATGTTACGATTCCAGCTCTGGGCTATCGCGGCATTCGATATCGAACGTAACTCGTAACGAAATTTCATTTAAAGATTGCGGCATTCGATAGCGCGTATCCTGGGTTAATTTAAATTGTTTTGGGGAGAAAACATCTGCCGTTATTAGATTCGATACAAGTAAACATTCGATCACGAATGCTGGGATTCGTATCTTTATTTCCTTATTTCTCAAAATAATCTTATAGTATTGCGGCCGTTGCGGTGTAATGGCTAGCAATGCCCACTATCATTCCGCAGGGACTGGGTTCGAGCCCGGTTTTCCCAGGTTAGAAATTTTAAGCGTTTCTTTTTTTTCAATTTGAAGTTGGTGATCGCAGAACAGCATTTAAAACAATTAAAGGTAATTTTTAGTGCAAATAAACAACAGCAACTCAGCAACTCAGTTCGGCTGTAATCAGTAATTGACCCATAAATCTTGTATTTATACGTATAGGCTGCAGTTAAACTTGGTAATCTCGCCGAGATAATACTTTTTCTTATTACCTTAAAAATATCCACCAAAAAAACTGAAGAGATGGCACATTAGACCACGTAGCACTCATACATACATACATACTTACATTTGTAAAAAATTTGCAATAAAAAAAATTTCTGTACGTAGTAACTATTATTTAATAAAGTTTATTTCATACTCAACATGAACAGATTTAATCAGTATACCAATACGTATCACTGTGTATGTATTGTAATATATGATTTATAAATACTTTCTACTTTATGTTTAACGGTAATTAAATGGGAGAAGACACTTTTGTTTCAGTTTTTTTACAGGTGGTTGTTTAGTTGTTGTTATTTTGTATACTTCAAAGGCCATAACATTGTATTATTTCTACTGTAAATAAATTGTTGCTGCCAAAAATCGGTACGTATATGTAATTTTATATATTACTGTAAAGCATACATATATAGAGAGAAAATAACAATGATTCGCCTCCTTTCAGAATAATTAAATATAGGTATGTAAAAGATTACATACAATATAAATGCTTAATGGCACGTACGAGGCATTTACTCCACCCATATAACACCAGTATATTAGTGGGGACAAACGCGCCTCGGATATATAGTTTTCCGTTTGAGTGTTTGTAAGTGCCGATTTAGTTCAATTTAGAAAAAAAAAATATTTAGTGTATTATTAAATATGGGTAAGAAGAATGTGTTTTAAGTTAAAAAGAAATCAAACGCTATTATAAAAAAATTACATTTTCTCTTTTTGTGGTGTACAATTATGCTTAGAATACGTTCAATACATGTTTATAAAGTTAAAGTTAAAAAATATAGAATGCAAAATTTGGAATACATTTGTAGGTTGTCGTTTTTTCGTGTCTTTTCAAAAACCTTTGGACACTTATGGAATGCTTAAATATTATTAAAATGCCGTTATACACATGCATATGTATGTACATACATATATAACGCTGCGTTCATCTCTAAGTACCAATGATATTGGTTAATATGCGATAGCATAAGCGCTTTGCCATTTGCCGCGCATCAGAAATGTGTGGCATTTACATGTGTCGGGTGTTGCCGAAATTGATGCCCGACTGATTGGCACCCTTATTTGAGCCGTACTGCAGTGAGATGACATTTTGACCAGCGCGCAATTGCTCCTCAGAGAAATTGCGTACATTCTTATCGGCTTCCTTGGGACCAATTGATGGTTTGCCAAAGTTATGTGCCTGAAATATGAAATTGATAAGCAATTATTATCTATGGGATTGAATTGAATTTTATGAGTTAATTGATTACCTTACGACCTAATGATTGCAGGCATATGACGACGGAGTTTAAGTTTTGTCGTTCCCAAAGATCGACACTCTGGAATGTCTCTTGTGTGGGTACACCAAAGTTTTTAGCACAGGCCAAGAAAGCTGGAAATAAGGTTAGAAGGAAATTATTAATGCAAATATGATACACAAAAAATTCAAAATACACAAGGCTATATCTATTAATTAATTTTTTTTATTTCTCTTAATACACATTTTTATTCGTCTATTTTTTATCGATATACGGAATGGTTAAATTGTCTTGATAACTATTGCATCGTTTTTGGGCCGAGAATAGGCATAAAATACAGGAAATTGTTCCTTACGGTAGATGTTTTTTGGAGTTCGAACTTCTTGTACAATAAAACAAACTAAATCTATCAGTTTTTTGGTTTTTGTTGTATGCAATTTCTACAATTAGTTTTTGGGCTTCTGATTCGTAGTAGCACCACCTAACCATAGCCCAGCATTCAGTTAGCGCTTGAAGTGCCTTTTTGATATGCTTTTCTCGTAAGGCTTTTGGTGTTAAATTTTTGGAGGAATTTAAAATCGGACCGGCTCACGCCAATCTTAATAGTTTTCCGAAATATTTTAGCGGTAGTCTTAAGATATAGAAAAAGTTATAATTCTGATGGAAAAACAGTACCGTTTTTTTTCTACATACATCCTAATGTAGATACATACAGTTGTCCACAAAATAATAGGAGTGCGATATTTTGACCAGTTTTGGCTATTTGTCTTTTGTGTATTTAATGTTTATTATTTTTTTATAAAAGCCTAGCTGGCTATACAACAAACACCATATAAATTCAGATTTTAAACTTTGTATAAAAATTATAAAAATTTTGCAATTTTTCACCCAAATTTCAAACTTTTTAATCAGAATCTTTAGAAAAAATTCTGGTATGCAGTTTTGTAGCACATTCAATTCTAGTCTGAAAAAGTGCAAGTTTCAAGCGGCTAAAAAATTCCGTTGATTTTTGGCAATTTTTTTGCTGGCAGTGTCCTCCATATAAAAGAAAATTGTCGACATACTTTGTATGGAAAAAACGTGAAACACCTTTAACCAAAAAAATTCTCAAAAATCAACGGAATTTTTTAGCCGCTTGAAACTTGCACTTCTTCAGACTAGAATTGAATGTGCTACAAAACTGCATACCAGAATTTTTTCTAAAGATTCTGATTAAAAAGTTTGAAATTTGGGTGAAAAATTGCAAAATTTTTATAATTTTTATACAAAGTTTAAAATCTGAATTTATATGGTGTTTGTTGTATAGCCAGCTAGGCTTTTATAAAAAAATAATAAACATTAAATAAACAAAAGACAAATAGCCAAAACTGGTCAAAATATCGCACTCCTATTATTTTGTGGACAACTGTACATATATAGGTATACGGTGACCAGATTTCTGTATACAAAAATTGGAACATTTCTAAAGCATCGAATCCGGAGATACAATTTTGTTTTCAAAATAAAAAGACATGACATCTTTTAATACAGTTTTATTTAAAACCAAAAAAAGACAGAAAAACTTGAAAAATTATCGCGAAAATTTATATAATGTACACAATATATGTATACCGTGGCGAGAATGTAAATAAAGAAGAGACATTTTGGTAGGTTTTGGCTACTCTTCTTTGTTTGATGTTTATTATATTTTATGAAAATATAGATTACTATATTAAAAAATATGTAAATCGAAATTTTCTAATTTTTTTATGAAGAAAATGAACATCTCCAAAAAAAAATTTACCACGAATCAGCGGAAAGTCCTAGGTACTTAAAATTTGCACTTTGAATTGAATCGGCTACAAAACTGCATACTCAGAATGTTTCTAAGGAATCTGATTAAAAAGCTCAGTTTTTTGATGAAACTTTGTCGAATTTTGCTAATTTTTGTACAAAGTTTGAAATTTTGACTTACATGGTATTTGTAATTTGAATGCTAAAATGTTTTATTTTTTTAAATTTCACTAAGTTCAAGTTAGAATCGTTTCATGAAAAAAAAACAAAACTTAACAAATAATTATACAAAATTTAGACAAGGGTGATAGAATGTCATATAGCGAGGGTAACAGTTTTACAGAATATAACATAGTCAAAGATCATAGAAAATAAGGAAGCTGGCCATTTTTATGGATCCCTTATATTTTATGTTCTTTGTGATATCGAAAGTGGTGCCACGTTTGAACGAAAATTTTTTTTGGGTCAGAATACAATGAGAATCTTATTGAATTATTAAAGAAAACACTGCAAATCGGGATTTAATCGGTACAAATATAAAAAATCGGGACAATCGCGGCAGCCGTTTGCTGATAGGCGAAGTAGTCATAATGTTCGCAGGAGATTTTCAGCAGACCCTACCTTTCATAGAGCATGGCACTGCGGCAGGGGAGATAAGTGCGTGCATCAAGGCTTCGCCATTGTGGGCAAAGGTGGAAATATTGAACCTCACTACTAACATCCAGTGATAGAGTTCGGACTCTTTGCTCAAGACCACCTTGGTAGAGATCGGTGAGATCCGCATTGCAAAGTACCTGGTGAGGCGATCACATACATGTCTGTTGATGCTGTGATGGCGAATGAGGATGCGACTAAAGACGGGCGCGGGACTAAATATTTAATGCCGATCCCGTCCATCCTGATGTTTTTCGAAATTTTACCGCGGATCCCGTAGGTTCCGAAATCTATCACTAAGAAAAATTCACATGTCTTTCAAATTAATTTTAAATAATAAAAAAAACAAAACCAATCCGATTATTTTCTTTGGGTTGCTGTTCGTTTTCATCTCAATAAAAAATAAAAAAGTGCATATTTCATTCATCGGAAGGAAGTTTTTTTTGAATTTTCGGAGGTTGTGATTTCATTCTGATGAAAAGCTGCTGGTAGTTTCTGCGGGAAAAATTTTTGCCAGCAGCCATTTGCCAGCAAGAAAAACATCTGATCAAAGTCATCTGTTTTCAATTTATGAAAATATGGAAATTTATATTAGATTTAGATTTAGATTTATTATTATGATTTTTAAGTTTGAAATAACTTATTAGAACTGCAAATATATCGGAAGAAAGCAAATGCTCATTTACTCATGTTTGCTTAGCAAATTGCTTTAGGAAAACTTTTAATTTATTGTATTCGTGTTTTCTGTTTTATGCTTTTGTATGTTAACAAAATTTCGATCAGCTGTACTAAAAACTTGCAAGTTTTTGCTAGTTTTGCGTTCGTGTACTTTTTTTTAACATTTCTCTCTTTGAGAGAGAACAGATCATTAGAATTTTGCTGCTGAGAGTTTTCTGCTGGAAGAATACGCGAA